TTACACACACACACACACACACACACACACACACACACACACACACACTGTAGACTGGCAGTCCTTCAAGAGTACAGGGGATCCTCTTCCCGAGCCTTTGTTCCCCCTGCATACAGCAACAGCATGCAAAGCAAACATCACCAGACTGATACTAGGATTCTGGGTTTTCCCCCAACTCTGCCTCTGGAAAATTCATCTTTGATCTCTGGATTTCATCTATAAAGGAAAAAGAGAAGTTTAACTAGATAATGTCTGTGGCCTCTTTTAACTCTCATAGTCTGCATCAGTGGCAAATCATAACAGTACAATGTTACATGATAGGATTTCTCTCTGGATCCAGTTGGCATCTGCTATAGGACAGGAATTTCTCTTAAATATAACAAAGGCCCAGTTAAAATTTTTTGATCATTAGCAGTGGCTGCCAAGGGCAGGGAATTAAATTTCTGTGGCTAGACCTGTGATTTTAAATGGAATGTATTATTTTTGTTGTTGTTGGTTTGTTGGTGCCTGTCCCAATACTAGCTGTTAATATTTCGATTATCTCTTCCACATCCAAACAATGGCAGAATCACTGAGACTATCACCACTGTTGTGCGAATGTTAATCTTCTGTGAAGTTTGAAAAATATAGATACCTGCTTCCAAATTCTCTGGGAACAGTGCCCAAGACTAGCTATTTTTTACAAAGTTGTATGTCTACTATAAATAACATCAGATTTAAGGAGTCACTTCTTAGTTTACATTGGAACTTCCATTACTGGCATTTCATAACATAAGATCAAGGAAAAAGATGACTTGATTTCATGGAATTAGAGTTTTTCTTACCATAGTACTTCTTTCACTCATGGAAAAATGATAACAAAAAATTTGAGAAGACTACGATTACTTTAAGTTTTAATAATTGCAGTCAGTATAGGTTAATGCTTCCATCACTTTTCTTGGTGTCATTTAAAAAAAAATTTATCATGATATTTATTTACTTACTTGGATACATACAAGTTTTACCAGGGGAGTTTCTGCTTCCTACCACTGCCTTTCCCTCCTATTCTCCTGAAATTTGTCTATATTTGTTATTTACATCCCAATCTTACCATCTAAAAGGTATTGAAGAATGCCGCTGGTCCTGGAATGTACAGGGAGC